GATCACATTTTACTAGAAGAAGCGTTGATCAATGAAACCATATCATGCCGATCATGCTAGAAAAGTCATCAATTCTTGGAAGTCATCACAGCTTTAAACAGGTCTTTATAACAAAATTCTCTGAGATCTAGTCGGAAAATCAATTTTAGGATAATAAGAAGGAAGAATTACATTGTTGTGGTACTTCAGAGGTTACAGACACTTCAATCTCGCCTGGATTTGATCGAAGAAGGAGCTGCGAAGAAGCCCTTCAATGAAGTATAAACATGGCACACAGAGATCAACTTTCACTTTCGTGTACAAACACCACAGGGAGCCCAATGATGAAAATCTTAAAAATATTCATTGTTGGTGCGAGAGGCTGCACAACTTTTTTTTAAGATCCCGAGTAAACTGTTTTAATGAAAATACAAAACTTTTAGGTAAAAATCCATCTTTTGATTGCAAATATCGGCCTTCGCTTCAACGGCTTATAGCGTCCTAGACAAATGACGTCATTTCTAAGAACTGTATTCGCCGTCGAGATACATACACATTGGAGGGTATGTGAGCTTGTTGTCGAAATGCAGAAGAAGTGCCGCATAAAGTTGTAATTTAATGGATTCTGATAAGAGCGATCTCTTGGAGAAGGAGGACAAAGAAGCGTCACAACTTGCTGCTAAGTCAGGAAAAAAGAAGAAAAAGAAAAAGAAGAAAAAAACATCGACTACCATCGAGGAAGGACACTCAACGTCAAACGAAGTTAGTGAACTATGTGCTGGAAGTATTCAACCAGCCAGTCAAATCACTCCAGAAGAAATCTCAGAGTCGAATGTCTTGCATTCTGAGGAAATCAATTTTTTAAGTCCTTCAAAAAGCGAAGCAAAATCATCTGAAGAAGCGATAAAAGACGAGCTTGAACGCGTCTATCCAGACCACGATGCCATCACAAATCTACATGAAAAATCATTTATTTCAAATCAATCGAGTGAGAGCACTGCCAAAAGAAAGAAGAACAAAAAGAAGGACAGTCTTGAATCTAAACAGGTTTTATCAGAAGAGAAGGAATCGAAACTTAAAATCCCCAAAGACAGCGAAAAGCTAATCAAAAGCGATAGCGGAAGTGAGAAAGAGCGCAAAGAAGTAAAAGTAAACGCTGGAGGTGCCAAGCCGAAACCTTCCGACGAAAAGTCAAGCTCACCATCTACTGACCGAAAGAAAAAGAAAAAGAAAAAAGCGGGAGGGTTCCTTTTATCAGATGTGAATTTATCTGAGCCTCAAAATGATTCAGATAAAGAGAAAAAAGATTTGAAATCCTCTGAAAAAGATACCATGAAATTGTGTGACACTGCACTGTCTGCAGACTCAGCTGAGCGTGAAAGTGACTTCAAGACCTTTAGCAAGGACACATCATTGTTGGAATCGGAAACTAGAGAGCAGTAAGCTTATTATTTTGCTGTATTTTTTTCATTTAACTATATTAACCGTTATTAGCGGCATAGGACAATCCCATCAATTGTGTTTCCTTGGAAACATTAACACTATTCGAAGTCTTTTTACAATATGACTGCACGCGCGCGTCAGGATAAAAAATTCAGGATGCAAAAACTGGAAAAGAACC